GCATTGGGATGATTTCAGGAAAGGGGTGTAGAGAGAGAGTGAGGCAACGGTGGTGGATCAAATCAGGAGCACAGGAACCTCGGTAGAAGTGTGTGTGTGGTGGGGGGGGCACAAAGCCACACCCCCTCTCTGACCCAGTCTCTGCTCCTCCTTCCCCAGAGCTGCCCAGGGAGTTCAGGCCACTACCCTCGGACCTTCCACCGACCTACTCTGGGTGGCGCACCCCAGGGACAGGGGCAAGGGACGGGGACTGCTCGTGGACACCCTACTCTCTCTCCTCCCCACTCCCCCGGGGCAGAGAGAGGTGGGAGGAGCGGGAGGTTCCCTGACTGGGGTTAGCGAGTCAGTCAGTGCTGGGATCCTTGTTCCTGTTGGTATAGGTGACATTTTAGAAAAAATATATATATATAAACAGCCAGTTAGGGAAACCCAGCTTTGCAGATCCGAGAGGCGGGGTGCAGGTAACAGAGCAAACAGGCTGTGGACCAGCTGGGCTCAGCAGTGAGATCGGACAGAAACGAAAGTGAAAGCTGGACCCTGCGCAGTGGCGGGGAAATGTGGTTTAAACCCTCTGGACCTGATCCTGAGGGAATTTCCCAGCTGGTCCCCACTGACCTCAATGGGAGTTTTGCCTGAGCAAGGAGCGAGGAAGAACAGCGAGGTGGATGCCAGTGAAAACAGAAACCTCCCATATTTGTGATATTTACGATAGCATGGCGTTGTCCCCCCTGCCAATTTCTATACCCCGGTTCCATCCTGCAAACTCTCAGCACTAGGCCACAGCCTGGGGCTTTCCAGCTCCTCTGCCTTTCCCCAGCCCCGCTCAGGTCCCTGCAGCCAAGTCCATCTCCCTTTACAGCTAGAGAGAGACTGCCAAGCTCTTGGCTCACAGCCTCTTATATAGAGCCAGCTGAGGCCTGATTGGGGCGTGGCCCAGCTGTGGCAGCTTCCCCAATCAGCCTATTAGCTGCTTTCCCTGCCACAGCCCTCTCCCAGAGCTGTTTTAAGCCCTTCAGGGCAGGAGTGGGATAATCACCCTGCTACACTCAGCTTTATGATTAGTCAATTCACCATGGGTGTCACAGTCGAAGGACTCTTAAGAGGGAATTGGAAGGGGACTAGGAGAATTAATTGCTGTGTGAATAGCTTTGGGGAGGGTGTTCCAGGCACAAGGAGCACCATGGAAGAAGGTGGGAGAGGGCTTGTGGGAGAGGTGGATAACAACTCTTGTGATTTTATGATGAATCTCATCATATTTGGTGTGTTTCTCAAAGCCCTAGTTCCTAGAATCCTGTGGAGATGTGAGAACTTTAGCTTACTTTTTTTTAAGAAGAAAAAAAGTAAGTGTCTAGCCCTCAGGGTTGCAGACAAAAACTAGAAAACATGACCCAAGTGTAACCTAAAAGTTCAAAAGCCAGAAGTTGAATAGAAAGACGCCCAAATGTATTACTGTGGTTTAAAATTGGAGCTTGACTCATTATTTTCACACACCTGGTGTTGGCAGTACTGCTAGGGGTGAACAGTGGCGGCTGCCACCAGGGGCAGAGGGATACAGGGTGCTGGGATAAGAGATTGCATAAGAGAAGTCATGTATTTCCCTCCCTCCTCCCCTGCCAATTGCATTAGAGGCTTCCTGACAAACCTGCCTTATGCCAGAAACATCATGTAATAGAAGGGACCATTTCCCCTTTCTTTGCAAACCATGAAAGAAAGAAAAAATCAACAGCCACCCCAGCCCCAAATCACAGATCCCCTCTGGTGATTTCAATGGATTCCTCCTGATTTACAACGGGGGGAAGGAGAATCTGGCCCCATGAATCTCTCCTGCCCACAGCAACCGTCCCCCTCACCCCACGTCTGGCTTCATAAACTAGAATTTATCCCCCCTGAGTAAACATCCCCCACAGACCCAATCCCTCCTGCCCACACGCCTCCATCCCGCCGGCACCTCCCTGCCCCAGCAGCCTCCCCATTGCCCCACGGTGCTGTGGGGAGAGATGCAGAGCCTGGGGAGGAGCCTTTCCAGACCCACTGGCCCAGGACCTCTCTGCCCTGAGGGGCAGGAGCTGCCAGAGGGGGCATGGCCAAGGCCCATCCAATGTGCAGGGGATTATCCAGAGCCCTTTACAGCCCCCCAGGCCAGCCCTGATTGGCCGCCCCAGCATCCTCTATGCAAATGAGCCCTCACCCCCATCCCCTGAGGCTAACGAGGGCCCAGGTGGCCCCGAGGGGAGCTGGGAATGTCCCCGAGGTGACAGTTAAACCGACGCAACGGACTCACCCCGGGGAGGGTTGAGTTGAGGGGGACACTCAGGAGGGGGCTGTTTGCGCTGCAGCCTCGGCCCCTGCTGCGTCCCTGCCCCTGGGGAGCGGCTGCCCCGTCCCCTCAGGCCGAGCTGTGGGGGGGAGCCCTGAGCAGCCTGCGGGAGGGAGGTCGGGGAGTCCCAGTCCTGGCCCCTCAGCAGTAGGAGGGGAGAGGAGCCCAGCGCTGGGACCCTTGAAGAGACGGAGCTCACAGGTGAGATACGTGGGGCGGGGAGTTAGTGGACACTTCGCGTACGTTTACACTGCGATAAAAACCCCACCAAGTCTCCCAGCTCAGCTGACTGGGATGCGTGGGCTCGGGCAGGAGTCGGGGCGCCGAGACCCTCCCCTGCTGTGTGGTCTCAGGGCCTGGCTCCTGTCTGAGCCCAGACGTCTACACTGCACTTCTATAGCCCCGCAGCCCCTCCCTCGCAAACCGGAGTCACTTGACCCACCCAGGGCCTTTTATTGCCGTGTAGACGAACGCTGAGGGAGCTGGGTCTGGCTGGCACCAAAATTGGTATCAGCTGTACCAGAAGAAGGCACTCCTATTCCAGACTATGTCTACACTGGCAATTGAACTACAAAACTTTTGTCGTTCAGAGGTGTTAAACTACCCCTCCCCCGAAAGACAAAAGTTTTGCCGCGACAAGTGCCAGTATGAACAGCGCGTTGTCGGCAGGGCAGCGCTCTCCTGCTGGGAAAACGAACGCCCCTCGTTGGGGGTGGAAGTATTTTGTTAGCAAAAGAGCCGATAAACAGCGGCTACACTGCACAACTTTTAGCGACACGGCTGGGTCCACACAGTCATGTCTCTAAAAGCTGCGTAGTGTAGACAAAGCCTAAGAGTGTCCACGTGAGGAGTTACACCAGTGTGACACTCACCAACGAGGGGTGAACTCGCACCTTGCTTTGCACCAGTGTTGGTATAACAGAGTGAATTCATACAGCATCTTGCACTGGTATCACTATGACAGGACGAATTCTCACTGTTCCTTACACCAGTATCACTGTAGCGGAGTAAATTCACACCTTACCTTACACTGGTATCACTGTAGTTGGGTGAATTCACACCTTGCCTTCTGTAGTGCATGCTCTCTGAGCCTGATAAGTGCTGCTGAACCTGATGGCTTATCCCTGAGCCTGATTACCTGAGGGCTTCACCTCACTCAACCAGGGCTCAGTCAATCCACAGGCGAACATCTATCCAGGTGACCCCAAGGCCGGGAGATATATATATATATATAGATGCTCCAAGTGAGAGCAGCCACTCCAGTCTGCTCAGTGTTGTTGCCTTGCTGCAAATATTGCCTGCTGCTTGGTGGTTTTGACAGACTGCCCCAGCCCCTAACCCGTCCTGCATCTGCACCTGCTCCAGCCCAGTTTCAACCCTGGTCTTGGTTCCTGATTCCTGCTCAAGGCAGGTGGGGAGAGATGGTTGGGGGTGGCCTGTGTGCCCTGCAGGTGCGGGGAAATGGTCAGGGGATGGCCCGCATAAGGGGGCTGTGGGCACTTTAATGAAACTTAGTGGGTTTTTTTGGTTGCCCTCTCCCAGTAACAAAAGAAAGGGCGGGGGCTGAAGAGAAATCGAGGCCCTGGGGACCGTCAGTCTCAGGATCAATGGAGAAAGGCCAATGTTCCCGCTCATTGACAGGGCAGGCAGCCCAATGATTGACAAGGCAGGCAGGCCAATGAGGGCGTCAGGACCCCAGGGTCCTGTCCACTCTGTGATCTGGAACTGCCTGAGCCAGAGCTGGTATCAAGGCTCCTTCCCCACTCTGAACATTAGGGTACAGATGTGGGGGCCTGCATGAAAACTTCTAAGCTTAACTACCAGCTTAGATCTGCTTTTGCTGCCACCACCCAAATGATTTATGAGTTATTTGGGAAACTCTGTCTTCCCCCCAAAAAACCTTTCCCTCCCTGGGTAGCCTTGGGAGACTCTTCCACCAATTCCCTGGTGAACACCGATCCAAACCCCTTGGATCTTAAAACAAGGAAAAAATCAATCAGGTTCTTAAAAAGAAAGCTTTTAATTAAAGAAAGAAAGGTAAAAATCATCTCTGTAAAAACAGGATGGAAAATAACTTTACAGGGTAATCAGATTCAAAGAGCCCAGAGGAACCCCCTCTAGCCTTAAGTTCAAAGCCACAGCAAACAGAGCTAAACACTCTAGCAAAAGGTACATTTACAAGTTGAGAAAACAAAGCTAAAACTAACACGCCTTGCCTGGCTGTTACTTACAAGTTTGAAATATGAGAGACATGTTCAGAAAGATGTGGAGAGCCTGGATTGATGTCTGGTCCCTCTTAGTCCCAAGAGCGAACCACCCCCAAACAAAGAGCACAAACAAAAGCCTTCCCCCCACCACAATTTGAAAGTATCTTGTCCCCTTATTGGTCCTTTGGGTCAGGTGTCAGCCAGGTTACCTGAGCTTCTTAACCCTTTACAGGTAAAAGGATTTTGGAGTCTCTGGCCAGGAGGGATTTTATAGTACTGTACACAGGAGGGCTGTTGCCCTTCCCTTTATAGTTATGACAGCTGGTCAGAGCTAAGGGGAGAACTGCAGCAGCAGCGAGAGCCAGAGGGGTCAGGGCTGGGGAGCTGGAGCAGCACGGACCAGCTGCGCTGACGGGGAGCGAGGGCTAAGCTACAGAGGGAGCTGTGGGCCCAGAGCTGGGATCGCGGATGCCAGCCATGCCACAAGTAACACTGCAGCCAAGCACAGTGAGTGGCTGGGGAGAGCGAGTGGGGGGCCTGGGCAGAGGGCCCAGTGCAAGGAGATGTCTTTGAGAGGGCTTTGAAGGCTGGAGTTGGAGGGGGGACATGAACCTGACAGGAGGGCCAATACTGGGGAGAAGGATCCTGGCATCTAGAGCCTGAGCGGGTGTGGCCACCACCACAGCAGGTGTCTGACCCATGGTAACACCTCAGCACAGCCAGGGCCTGGGAGGGAGGCCTGGGATGTGTGAGGAACAGACTGTGACCTTTCCTTAAGTTGCAGAGACGGCTGTTTGTGGTGTTCCCTATAGGGTGAGGTCCCTTGTTTCTTTGACCTTTTCCATTTTTTTCCTTACCATTTCTGTTTAATAAATTGTATTTGGTTTGAACTTAATGCAGTGATAAGTGGGTCAGGGAAGGAGCTAGTGTGAAGAGAGCACCCTGGAGTGGGGACGTCCTAGCTCCTATCCTAAGTGGCCACCAGGAGGATGGGGGTGAAGCTTCAAGTCTTGTCGGGGTTACGAGGACTCTGCCACACAGGAGAGTGGTAGGGGAGTCCTTGAGGACAGGCAGGCCTCTGTATGGCCTCCTCTTTTTGGGAGTGTATATAAAAAATATTTCACTGCATCAAGTCTCCTGTAGCACCTCAGTATGTTATGTCTGAAAGGGAAGAGCTGCCTTGTCTAGTCATTGAGATGGGGACATCTCACGGGATGGAAGCATAAAGTCTTTAGCTCTTAACCTCTTGATAGAGGATTGTAAAAAATAGAGTGAGGTCATTTAAACATCATTTATTTTGCAGCTTCATTTACTGTGCTAACAATGTAGCATCCTGACATTGATACTTCTGCCTAAGTGACCGGTGGGTTGGATTCATTGTAGTGGGACATGGGACATGTGAGGCTAATTTAAACCCTTATTTCCTTAGGGTTCGCCTTCAATATACTTCTATGCTGGTGCGATCTCTGACCATTACAGTTCATCAATTCAGCAGGGAGGCACAGACAGCAATGCACTTGTCCTGTTGCCTTGACTGAAAAAGGTTCTGATCAAAGGCAGTGTAGATTCCAGCAAGCTCCTGGGGTAATATCTCATCGGAGATGAAATGGCTTGTCTTTACTGAGACAAATTCTATGGAATCCAAAAGGCATAAGGAGAAGGCCATCCTAGTGCATTAATAAGATTACTTTTTCTTGAAATGAAAGAAAAGTGGACTAAAATAACTTTGAAGATTTTGAAGCAATTTGCAGCTTTTGGGATAGTGCTTTCTCCTTACTATTAATACTGTAATTTTCCCAGCCCTAAAATTACCTTTTGATGGATTTGTTTGTATTTTCAGCCAATCCATTGGTTTGTGATGGTATGGGCTGGTGAAGCTACATTGTATTCCCAATTTTTTGCAACTCTCCAGGTTACACTGAAAGAAAATAAGTTATGCCATAACATTTCCTTTGGACAGGTATGGTGGGTAAAAAGAGACCAAAGAATAAAAAGTTATAGCAACCGTGATAGGGCGACCAGCAGTGCTATTTGCCAAAGTTGAGTGGGAGTTCATAGAAACTTGTCAGCAAAAATGCCCATAATGAACAACTAACGAGGGCAATGAAGCCCATGTTCACTGCCAACCATCTGTGACCTGAAAGTGTGGTTGAAGACAAAGTCAAAAACAACCTTCGAAATAAGTATTTACCTCCTTATTGAATTCTGACACACGATATGTCAGTATATGCTGTGGACATCCAAATCGCATTATAATTTTGTACATTTCATTTGCCACCACAGATGCTGACTTATTTAGAAGTGTAAATACTTCAATCCATCTTGTAAGATGGTCTGCGGTTGTCAGTATCCCTTATTTATAGCTGGTAATGTCCCTATTAAATCCATTCCCACCAATTCAAAGGGCCGACTGACCTGTATGCAAGAGAGCCGATTGGAGTCATACTTTGGATTTCTCTTATTTCAGATTCTCAATAAGCCCATAAGTAGTAAGCATACTGAACACTGATGTGGTTTCCACCAACACACTATCAGAATCTAATTTCCATTTTTAAAAATAGAACAAAAAGAAATAAAGTCAACAAAAAGTAATACAGGAATACTTGTATGAAAAAATGAAACAATAACAAACCTGCAGAAATATGCCACTGCAAGGAGCAATAGAGTTCACTGTTGCACTCCATTGTGCCACTCACATGCATTGCATTCATTGTGAATTAAAGGCCGCATTATGTAGCAATGATAAAAATGGATAATGATAAACAATTATCTTTGACTCTCTCTTTATAAGATTTCTTAAGTTTTTAAAGGAAGTGAATTAGACTTGATATCATGTATATGCAGTCCACACAAAGAACATTCCTAATGCTTTGACACTGGAAGGAAGGTAAAAGAAATTTCTGAAGAAATTTAGTAGATGTCTCAGAGTCCAAAATTCATCTTTATGCTTGTCAAGGTGGTATCCAGATTTAATTCCTTTCTCACTTTCTGGCAATGCAGACATCATGAAACCTAGTTTAGATGGAATAATATGATCACATTAAAATTCTTGCATGAAAATATTACTTCAAGGGAAGGGATTGTACATTTTACAGCAAATGTATAATTATTGTTTGTTGCAATGTAAATGTAAAATTTGCATTAAAATGTAAATGACATATTGCAGGATTTAGTTTTATTACTGTACAGACCCAATTGGCGATGGTTTTTGTCATCCCAGGCCAATAGTATCTTGTGCTCAGGGCCATTGTCGTTTTGACTATTCCTTGATGTCCACCCCATGGACTGTCATGATACTGTTCGAAGAGTTGTAGGGCTTGTTTCATGGTGTGCATGACGACCTTTCTTTCTTTGGCAGAATGGAAAAGTGTCCCCTCTGATAATTAGAGAAGATGGGGATGTGATGCTGACATCACCTGCTGCACTTAAGCCAGGATCAGATATTTTCAAAGTCATAGATTCATTATAAGGCATGTTCATATAAATGATATCTGAATGCAGAATGGGTCATCCCGCCTTTGGTAAGGCGGGGTGGGGTCAATATCTGACTATAAGTTGATGTGGAAAAAAATAAACTAAAAGTAATTGTTCAGTGAACATAAATGGACTGTTTGTAGGATACACTGGATAGCGTACGCCTCTTATTTGTGTCTTTAAGAACCGAGCCCTGGGAAGCCCATGCTGAGAGGTACTGTCTGAGGGGAAACAAAAAAAGCCCCTCTGCCCCCCCTCCCATTTTTGCAAACACTGGTGTCTCAGTGCCCTGGGGTAACTGTTACCCCCTCTGCCCCTGCCTGTGGCAGGGTTTTGCCCTCTGTCACCATCTGGCAGCGCCTCACCCCGGGCGTAACCCCGGCTCCTTCCCCTCAGCCCCTGTCCCCACGCAGCCTCCAGCTGCTTGACCCCCTGGCCACTGAATCCCCCCGCTCCCCGCTCAGACCCTGGCCACCCCCACCTCCGATTTGCTCCCTTTGCCCTTTTTTAACCCCTGTAAAAAGCAGTCCGCAGAGTCTCACGCCAAGTGAAGGGAGGGTGAAGGGCAGTGGCTTTAGCAGATGTTACTGAGTCTGCTCAGCTCGTGTGCAGGCCGGGTGCACCCTAAGTAGCAAATTCTTGCAGTTTGCAGCTGTTGCTGGGCATGCTCAGACCACTCCAGCAAACCGGGAGGGGAACTGAGCAATGAGTAATTTCCTGCTGTTGGTTCCTGCCTCACAGCCCTTCTCTGTCCCTGCAGTTCCTGTCTCTTTGATGAACCATCCCAAGTGGTGCTGGCAGCATGGAGATGGCCGAGAGAGTACTGCTGGAGACCCTGGCCATGCTGGGAGAAAGGGAGCTGCAGAGATTCAAGGACAAACTGAGTGAAATCCAGCCGAAGGAGGGATACCAACATCTCCTCTCTGGGAGCCTAAGAAACGCGGATCCTCCAGCCCTCACGGACCTGCTCCTCCTTTTCTATGGGACGGACTATGGGGCAGAGGTGGCTGCGGAGGCGCTGAGAGCCATTGGCCAGGGAGCCCTAGCAGAGAGAATTGAGAGACTCATTGAGGCACTGAGACGTGGTAAGGAATGAGCCAGGGAGACTCCTGCAGCCTCCCAGTTCGCGGTGGGATCCTAGCTAGAGCTGTTTGCGGTGCTGTTGTCACCCTGTTGGTGCCAGGGCATTAGAGACACAAGGGTGGGGGTCAGGTGATATCTTTTATTGCACCAACTTCTGTTGATGAGAGAGACCAGCCTGTGAGCTGCACGGAGCTCTGCGGAGCTTGAAAGCTGGTCTCACTTAGTTGGCAGCAGCATTTGGTCCAATAAAAGATTGTAACTCACCCACCTTGTGTCTGTCATTAGCTAGAGCAATGGTGCACAAACTGTGTGTGTGTGTGGGGGGGGGGAGACGCCCTCTCAGCAAAAGAGGTTCTGGGGGAGGGAGGGCACAAAGAAACTGGGATCCCGTGGGTCCCACAGGACCTGCTGCCATACTAACAGGAGCGGGATAAAACTGGAGGGGGTATTACGAGGGGTGACTAAACGAATAGCCCTCCTGTGCCGCAAACAACATGACCCCCCAAACCAGCAGCCGCTGCTGCCTGGGAGCTGCCTTCAGAGCTAGGCGGGGCTGCCAGCAGTGACATGGAAGTAAGGGATTATTTCAGTTTACAAGTAAAGC